GTAATTAAAAATTTAAAACTATTTTTAATTAAGATTTTTAGGATTAATAAATAAAAAAAATTAAAAAAATAATTTAAGTAATTTGTTAAGGCATTATTTGCAACCCTGAATTTGAAGTTTAATATTTTTTAATTTTATTAAAATTTTAAATTTTAAATATTCTAAATAAAAAATTTAAAACACTTGAATTTTTTCAATTGAGATTTCGGTATTGTTTTTAAATTTATGTATTTTTTCTTTAATTTTAATATTTAAATATAATCGATTTTAAAAATTTGAAATATTATAAATTTTTTGCTATCAAAAAATTGTATTAAAAAAAAAATTAATTAATTAAGTCGAGTAAAAACTTGTTTTATTTAAATTTACTTGCTAAATCAAAGGTTATTTTCTAAAAAATTTGTACCCACCCTAATATATGTAAATATTTGAACTTAATCTCGCTGTGTGTTGTTATTTTGTTCTGTTGCCAAAAATTTCGAATTAGAAAAAGTGATGGCATCACAACCATGGCATCATGTTTAGAAGTCGTAAAATATCGGCACGCACATACACACATATATATTTAGATATGTATTTGAAAAATAAAAGCAATGCCTACAACGTAAACACAATTATGCTGCCCATCCAGCATAATGCCTCTACAATGACAAGTCTCATTATCAAGTTCAAAATGCCATTAAACAAATGAGTAGCTCTTGAACCCCTCCTACGCACTCGCCATCTCCACTACTACTTGTAATATTTGGAAATTCATGAGGGTGCAAGCGTATGCTGACCTTAGACAAGTCTCAGGTGGGCAGATAGTGGGGTAATGGAGATGAGGTGCATTGAAAGATGAGCGCATATGCTTAGGCGTATCTTAATTTATCAAATAAATTATTAAATGATGATGTAAATACATACTAGATGTTGAGTGATGCGTGTGTGTGCGTATCTGATTAGTGGCTGAAAATTGAAACTAAAAGGTTCCTTGGAAGGTGACTCAGGCTCGCGGCTGTACTTTGGTTGTGGGAAATGAAGAAAAAATTTAAATTTATGAGATATGTATATACTTGCTCTGAAATATATATATGACATACATATTTCGTAAAAAAGTTTTATTTATATGTTAACATTTTTTCGAGCGAGGCACTTCACCAAAGACCATACATAAGATACTGGAATAAAGATCTCAACCAATATTTCTTAGACAGTAATTAAATATTAGAAATTGAAAACTATGATGATATGAATACCTGGGGCTGATATTTTCAACACGTAAGGGGAGTACGTTTGAAAATAATTTTTGCTGCAGCAGAAGGCTATAGAATGGTAAACTCGCTGAAAATATATTATTGCATACTTTGAAATGGCTCATAGAAGCTATGAACTACTACCTAATGCTCAGAAAATGAGAATTTTTGGTGCGCGGGGGACTTGAAAATTTTCAATTATCATATAAAGTAATATATATATTATCGAAATTTAAAAATTAAAGTTTAATGAATAGTCCAAATATCTTTATAATGACTATTTTTTATTAATCTAAAACATGAACTAAATGATAAAGTTCGAGAGAATTGAAAGACATTATTTTTAAGAACATTGCATTGAATTGCCTTAAGAGCCTATATACTCATACACTTGCAAGTAAAAAAAAGAAACAATTTTTTTTTTTTAACTTTTATGAATAAGCATTTAATTTAATAAATATACATTTACGGAATTAAATTCATACTGAAAAATTTTGGATTGCCCTGATGCCATAGCCTATCTCCAGGAGTATATCTGAACAAAAGCAGTCTGATGGTGGGGAGGATTTTTCTGTTTAAAATAATCTCCAATCCAAAGTCGAAAAACAAAATATTTTAAGAAATTAATACAGGGAATGATCGCAGAACTAGTAAAAATTTTGATTTTTTTTAAAATGGCGGCTTTCCAAAAAAACCGCTGTATTTAAAATATTTTTTAGAGTTGCTTAAAAAGTCAAAATTATTACTAATATATTTTTCCTTCGATTATAACATGTTCGTATGGATGTTTGAAGTCGATCGGCCCAGCACTTTCGGAGGCATTTTTCTCACCGATTCTGAAAACAGCGTTTGGAGGAAAATGAGCTAAGAACATCATTCGATTTGAAAATGAGGTATGCCCCGGGACCTCAGGTTTACTGTGCCCTGACGTCATACAAATACGCTCAAATCTCTGAAACTATTTTACAACTTCAACTTTTCGGTTAATATTCTCAAATGTAGGTGTATATATGTATGTATATGTAAAATACATTTGGATAAGTAGAAATAATTTAAATAGAAAAAAGCCAGTTTAATACCGAATCTGTAGCTGTGTGAATCGAGTAAAGTAATATACAATCCAATAGTCGTTGCTGAGCCGATCCAATAGTCGTTGCTGAGCCGATTCAAAACGTCTCGAAAACATAAATTGCTAAGAAGATCTATTCATGAGCAACCACAATCACTGAAATCACTATAGTATTTTCGAATCCCCGTTTTGTACAAAGACTTGCATTAATGTCCACATTATTTGTGATAATGATAGAAGAACTAAAGGCTCAAATAAAACTTCAAAATCAAATGGAAATGAAAATCTTCATTGAACAAAGTTAAGGTTAAGTGTGGAAAATTTCCCAACAGGAATCATAATTGATAACGAATGTATGCTTTTTTCAAGTTGACTTCTTATTTTTATTAAAAAAATCATAATAAATATACAATTTCTATCACATTGATCTAGCTTTTAGTCATCGCTGAACTTTTTGTTAGCTCAGTCCATTCAGCCACTGTTTGGAGTAATGTTAATATTTTTATAAGGAGAGTATATTCTTCAAACCTACATCAGAGAAAAAATTAGTTAACGGGGACGTTGACTATAATTTTATGAATAGTACGATAGTAGTTACACTATTAGAAGATATCATTAAATTTTTAATTTCTAAAATTTGCACACACTCTATACTTTTAGATAATAATAAATATTTTGAAGTCGAAGAAAGTTTAAATTTAGAACAGTTCTCTTGGGCCGAATTATGGACTTTCATTTTTTGAGAAGTTCCTTATTAAAATAAAATAGGCGAATTGCAAATATTGTGTTGTGCTGGCAGATAGTAGAAGTTTTTAAAAATAATAAAGCTTTTTTGATTGAAAAAAACTAAAATTTCGGTTGGTTTTTTACTTAATTTATCAGCTTCACCAATTTAACAAAATATTTAATATATTTGGTTTTTTCTGGTTTTAAATTTAATTCGTGCATTCTTCCTACTAACGAACTTTACGGCAATCGTTAGAAAGTAGACACGTACGAGTATATAATTTAATCTTTACGGCCATTGCAAAAGCTACAAACAATTATTTAATTTAATTACATATATTTTGATGAAAAATCGCACGAAAAATACTAAATATTTGAATTTCGATATATTCCTTTTTTTCTCACAATTTATTGTTTTACTGCTTTGTTAAGAAATTGAAAGCTAACAACTCTGAATGTTAAAAAATTGAATAATTTCTGATTAAATTTATGAATACTGTTGGTGGAATTCACAAAGAAAAATCTTTTTCTCAAGGAATTTCTGAAAACTCCAATGTAGACCAATGTTGTTAGGGGCGTATGAGTAACTCATACTATGGTTGAGGTATGACGTAGCGTATGAGTTACATGGAAATATACATTTAATGCTTTTTATACGTTTGTATGCGTATTTCAATGTCTGTATTATCTTGTTAACAAATAAGTTGCTACACTTCTTGCAATTATTTTGAAGTATGCAGAAAAGTTTTTTTTTTGAAGTAAGTAAGAACAATACTTGTATATACACATGTGCCCATAAATGTATTTGTAAGCATTCAATATACCAACAGCAAAACAAAAGGTTGTCTTCCAAAGCGCTCTTAAAAATGTATCTACATATTGCACTTAGTTTGTATTCTTTTTCTATTACAACTTTGCTTATTCTCGCCATTTGCTTTACAAAATTTTATTTATTTATGTGCATTGCGCTCCCAAAGGAGCAGCTATTCATTCAGGTGTTTCTTTTTATTTTTGTGTTTCTTCTTTTACCAAATACTCGTATTCGGCAAATTTTATTAGATATATTCTGCTCCTTTTTTGTCTACTCTTTCGTTAGAGTCATATGTCGCTGGCATTTCTTGTGCATTTTCCATTGCGTGTAGTATTTGTCAAATTCTATTGTTGTTGTGGTTGTCTTAGCGTTTTTGTTTTTTTTTTTTGGTTTTGTCTCGAAGGGTTGGAAATTATTAATTTGCTTTTATTGATTGATCGCGCGTTCGCTTTTCAAGCATTCGCTTTATTTTCCAACACGACTGAGAGACATACATACATACATATGTACATACATCAAGTTTTTGATTTTGTATAGAATTCTTCAGCATTGCATATGTTTGGAGCATTAAATGGATATTTTTTTTTGGAGTTTAATGGATTCTTGTTAAATTGTAGTTGTTATGTAGTTTTCAATAGTTAATTTACTGTAGGACATTTTCTAATTAGAAACTTTAAAATTGAAAAAGAATGTGTTTACCAAAAAGCTGTAAAGAAAAATATTCAGGATTTTATGAAGAAAATAGTTTTTATAATTCAGCAATCGTATCAAAAATGTTAATTTTTACCCAAACAAATTTTTTAAAAACATAAAATAACATAAATACACGCAGCTATTCTTATACATCAAAGATATATCTGTAAGTTTGTATATATAACACGGGTTTAGTGATTTACTAACTATACCATAATCATGCCTAGACAAAACCCGTTCAGTTAACAACGTATAGGAAACTGTCTGTCAAATGAATGAAAAATAAAAAATGTGTTACACTTTCACACGCACGCACACTCATTTGCACACAAGCTAATATATTACATTTGCTAATGTCGCCTTTTTCTTTTGTCAGACAGCAGTTTTTTTTTCTTTGCCACTGCCAATCGTTAAGTGGGCCTTTACACTTTGCTTGCCATTATATTAGTTGTTGACTTATTTTTACCTTTTCAGCATAGACACTTGCACGCAATATCTTCGGCCAAAAACGTTTCTATAACTTTTACTTGAAATCGTTATTATTTTAATTACTTTGCTGCACTCCTTGCAATATGTATAAGTATTCTCACATAGTAGTATATATGTATATCTATAATTTCACGAAAATATTTTCACTGCCCTTTGTATATACATATATTTGAGATTTTTTTCCACTTTACAATACACACACACACGCACTTTTCTTTAAATTTCAACGAGCTAAAATGCTTCTTTTTCAATTTTTATTTGCATTGCGCTTTTTAGCCAATTTTCATTTTTCAAGGCAACACCACTTCTTTTTCCTGCTTATTTACTTTTCGCCACACAAAAAATTAGAATCTATAATTTTTTACATATATATTTTTTACAATATTTTTTGCTTGCCTTCCCTTGATTGTGGGAGCACCCCAATACTTTCGTACGCAGCTGAGCTCTACCGACGTCCGTTTGCAGCTGTGGCCGTTACTCCACTAAACATTTGGCAGCGCACGGTCGTCACAAGTTTTCCAAGCAGACATTGGCAGCGCAGCGCCGAATCCAATAGACGAACTAATGACGAATGTACAAGCAGACTTTTACTGTATGAATTGCTCTCGCGCTAACCTTTGCGCGTATGCTCAAGTTTTCAGTGCGTGGAAAACGGCTCGGCGTTTCCTTCCGCTCGCACATATAACTGTATACACGCGCGCTACGCTCACTCTCTGCGTCACTAATTTTCTCTAGTTTACACTCGCTCTCATTAAATTACCTCAAGTGGCGTTACTCTCCATCATTCTTGCTTTGCATCTCTGCAAGCTTTGCCATTTTTCGGCATTTTCATTGTCACAGTCATTTGTTTGTTGTGTTTGTAATAACTTTTCCCTATTCGGTTTTCTGCTTATTTTTGTTCATTTCGTTTTGCTCTTGAGTTTATTATTTAATTTGTGCATTTCTTCTGCTTTTTCCCGTAATTTTTGTTGTGATAGCAAGTTATGAAAGCGTAGCACATAATTTCCGATTGTTTTCATTTTCCATCCTCCTTTTCGCTGCTTTTCCACCTGGCTCATTCGTTTGTGCCATCATTTGTTGTGTGTATGTGTTTGTGGCAATTAGGCCGTCGCTTCTGCTATCACGAAGCGCTTTGTTTTTGGTGGCCTTACCACCGTTGCTACAATGGGCTGATAATGACCAAAATGTATTTGAAAATATTATTTTTGAAAATGTTAATATTATTAACTTTTTTAGCAGGCATTGTGGAAATTTAATTATAAATTGACTTAACATTTGTTAGATTTGTATTTGTGTTTGATTTCCCTATGATTAGTTCAACACAGAAAATAATCACTATGAAACCAAATAATCTGAGATCTCGTACTCGAAATTTACTCCAAAGGTTTTAGGCTTACTTTGAGGGTTTTCTAAACTAGCCGCCTACGTTATTGATTAGGTTGCTCGGCATCACATTCTAAAATAATGAATATTTTCTCAAGACATACGATAAATTAAACCTTTTAAATTTTAAGTTATGATAAGCTGAAGTTTAGAGACCCTATCTTCCATCTAGGTACTATTAGAATAACAATTTATGTATTATAAGTGCACACAGATTTATTTAAGTGTAGTTCTTACACTTTTATTTGTAACAAGTATGGTATAGCGAACAAAATACGAATTTTTGAAATTGTGTGCAGCACATCTATCGAGATGTAATTATTCTAACTTTACATCAAAGCGAATGATAAGTTAAAAATTGAGAATCGTATATAAATTTTTCAATGCATAAGAAAGACAAACTAATAAGTAACAAGTGAAGGGCTAAGTTCGATGTAACCGAACATTTTATACTCGCAAAGTCAAATGGTATACTGTTTGAGATTTCTTTGTGGATTGACTGATATTTTCGGTAGAAGGTCAACTATAGGCACTGGGGTCCAATATTTAGTACTTAGGGTTTGAACAGTTTTGGTTCGATTGACAATTTTGCGCAAGGTGGCATACTTTACTGCATTATTCACGCAAAGTTTTACCCGATATAATCATTGTTACCTGATTTGCATAGTGGAAAGTGAAAGAATCAGATGGAATTGAAAATGGTGTTACATGGGAAGTGAAGCGTAGGTTGTAGTCCGATTTCGCCCATTTTCGCACCTAAATGACATAGAAACACGAAAAAGAAACGTTATGCACCGAATTTGTTGAAATCGGTTAGCAGATCTCAAGATATGGGTTTTAACCTAAAGTTGTCCACGCCCACTGACTAATTTTGAACGCAGTTCCTATAAAGCCAATTTATACCATCTCAGAGATAAAATTTAATTCTCTGGCGTGTTTAGTGCTTGATTTATCGCGCTTTGTAGTTTTTTAAACGTACCGTTATATGGGGAGTGGGCGGAGTTGCCACCGATTTCAACTATTTTCACACCGTCAATAGAAGTGCTAAAAATTTGCTTCCTAGTGAATTTTGTTTATTATAGCATTAGCGGTTTAGGAGATATGCACATTAAACCTATTAGAGGCGGGACCACGCCACTTTTAAAAAAGTTTTAACTGCAGATGCCCCTCCCTAATGTGATCCTGTGTACCAAACAACAGTTTTATCTTATTGCGGAGCTTAGTTATGGCAAGTTATTTGTTTTGATTAATGGCGTTTTGTGGGCGTGGCAGTGGACCGATTACGCCATCTGCAATACCAACCGTCTCACGGTACCCAGAAACATGGTACCAAGTTTCATAAAGATATCTCATTTTACTGCAAGTTAAGCTTGCACGGACGGACAGACGGACAGACGGACGGACGGACAGACAGTCACCGGATTTCAACTCGTCTCTTCATCCTGATCATTTATATATATATAACCCTATATCTAACTCGATTAGTTTAGGTGATACAAACAACCGTTAGGTGAAAAAACTATTATACTCTGTAGCAACAGGTTGCGAGAGTATAAAATGGTGCCTATTTGAACGAAAGTGGATCATTCTAACTACAATATGCTAAATGAAACCTTCAATTTAATGCAAAATTATGGGTTCTTTTTACTAGACTTAGTGGTAAGTATAGACATAATTCCAAAATTTTGAAAGGAGTTGTCGAACTTCGAACTCGAACTTCAGAGTTTCGAACTTTCACACCTTAAAATTTTCCTACTATACAACTTCGTAGTTTTCTTATAGAGATCACGATGACTGATATTCTTAAATTATAGAAATCAGTTGGGATTCGGTGTTAGAGACAAACGTGAAAACACTCGCTACAAACTCAGATCAACTGGTGATAAAAGAGATTTTTCATAACTAAGCATATGTGCTCCAACGTATTTTATTATGCCTTCAGTTTAATGTTCGAACACAAACTATTCGAAATTAGTAAAGACACAAACCTTTCGAAATAATTTTTTTATGCGCCCTGTTATAAATACAGGGGGTATGTAATTAAAATATATAAATAATTATATCTACAGATATAATATTATAATATTATATAAGGCAGTATTGTATTTTTATTATTTAATTAGATATTAAGCGAGACGAATCGATTCTCGGTGTCTGTCTGACTGTCCGCTTATGAAAGAAATAACATGGTAACGCTTCAGAAATCTTGATGTAACTCGTATACGTCTACTTTGGCACTAAGAGAACGTTGGTATTGCATATGGGCAAAACATAGCCCAGTCATTATTAATGCTACAAATCGGGCGTAGGTATCTGGTAGCAATTAAAGTATGATTTGCTTTTTCTAATTTCTTCCTAATTCCTTACTTAATTTATGGGCCCGTAAACTATTTAGGTTTTGTTAAGAGATTAGGGTAGTCAGAGGCACAAAAAATTGATTTTTAGTATTTTTTTTGCTATTAAGTCATGTTATTTTACAAAGTATTGTAGTAATATGACTTATTATACAATGTTTTGAATTGAGTCACGAAATTTCGAAAGAATATTTTAGATATTACACTTAACGATTTTGACTACCCCTAAACCCTTAACTAAAGTAGATGCTTTCTCATCTCTGGATATAAAAATTATATCCGACGTGATACAGTCGAGTTATAGATCAAATTTCATATCACACAAATAATCAACTCATTTGAACTTAATTGTTGATTAAATTCTCGACAAAATCAGTAAAAAAGAAATCGGACTTTAGCCATGACTACTTTTCGTAGAAGCACTTTAAATATCAACTGTTTATTTTCCTTAAATATATAGTATATAAAAAATAAACCTTGCAAGAGCTTTTTCCTGCTGATCTCAGAAATATTTCAAATCACTTAAACTCTTAACATATATATGCCTACATTCAAGTTTTCAGCTACTAAAACAACAACAAAAATTGCTTGTTAACATGAAACTCTACCTTTCATTTAAAACCGCCACCGCGTGACCTAGTAAAATTATCAAATCTTACAAAAATCATCAGCAGTTAATCACAGATTAAGTCTGACAATAAAAATACGAAGCCCTGAATATGAAATTGGAAAATCCCTAAACGTCTACACCTATTAGTAACACATGTGTGAAAGCAATTTACGTTTCGTGCCAAAAATATGCGTACATGTCTCGCATAAAGTTACCAGCCTACGTTTGCGCATTTAGCACTGCCAGCAAGTAAAATAGCTTAAGTCGATTGTAGCAAAAGATAAAACTTGCAAATTATTTGATTTTCTAGCGAAGTCATGTATATTTTGATTATGTGAGAGTAGCAGTCATTAGAACATATTGTGGCGAAGATTCCGAACTTTTTCGAGGTAGATTTATGGCATTATCTAGGTTAATACCATTATGTTGCTTATCTCTACTATTTTTTCTGTTAGCTACATATTCATATAATCACGTTTGAGCAAAGTAAATTGATGCTTAGTATGCCTAGCAGTCAAATACTTTGTATCAGTTACAGTTGGTCAAGCCAATAAAATTGCTTATGGTCGGTAATTTGAAGTCATAAAACAAGTGACTTTCGTGCAGCGCCTACGAGGGAGTTATTATTTATGAAATACTTGAAATTTTAGGATCTTCTTGATATTACTGCAATAATACTTATATGTGCTGATTATAGCCCAGGCGAAAAATTATTTATATATGTATATGAAGCAGATAACGTTAAAATTGGATTCTTTCACATCTCATCGGCTCTATCTTATCCCTCAACTATGCTTCATCCCAGTCAACCAAACCTTAGCAGAGCAGCAATTCATATAATCTATTATACGATGACTTTTCTGTTTTTATCTGGATATAATGCGGGAATTTATCGGAAAGAGGAAATCGGAAATTTTTTTATGAAAAATAATATATACCATTAATCCAACATGTTTAAAATACATAAAAAATACATGTTGAACGAGACGAATTTTGAATTCGGAAGTCGCTAGAATACATTATGTCAAATGAAGGCTCTCTTTCCAGTACAGTATAAAGACGTCGAAAGTAAGTCTCAGAAAAAAAACAAAAGGATATTGAGATAATACTTTACTAGGCTTGGAATAATTTTTGAAT